TTTTTTTTAATCAAGGGATGCTTTTTTCATAACATAATACCGAAGTACTGCACATTAAAACTGGTATATCTCGAGAAAGAAAAATTGAATCGCATCAAATGAAAATGATACCCGAATTAGAAATGAGCAAATAATTTGATGGTTTCATTATATAACCTCAAATATCGCTAAAAATCGTGTTTTTGGCACTTTGAGGTTAGGATATCTCAAAATTCTAGTGCTAGAGCAATTGTGAGGCCAGATTTGGATTCAGTGCCAAGAAACGATGTGTTTTACTTAGGTGGCAAAAAAAAAACAAAATTTGTACAAATAATTAGAAAAGAAAAAAAGAAATACTTAACTTACTTTCGTACTAGCATTTTCAACGCGAAAAGAATTTAACAAGGTGGCTTTGCAACTTCAGCTTTTTATCAATCATGGTTGTATTTTAGTCCATTTAAGTTTGTAGATTCTTGTAAATTCAGTGCTGCCACAGCCTTAAATATTTCAAATTATTTCTGGTTTTAACTATCTCGAAGTAATTTTTGTTCAGAAAAAAGCACTAAAAAAGGCACTAGGCACTAAATAGTATTTTTTGGCGTTTTAATTCTCAAAAAGCACTAAATCTAGTGCTTAAAGCACTAAGTTGGCAACTATGCGCTTTAATACATTCAGATCGCTTGCGTCCATTCGTAGGGCTTGGCCTAGCCAGTGGAGCAACTGTATTTAATTCGCTGTACTATATAGATGGCATTGTAAAGCGCATACAGGTCATCGTTCCATTTTTTGCGGCGTCCGCCGTCGCCAACGAGCAAAGGTGCGTAAATACTTGAAGGGCCGCCTTATTATACAAATGGAAATTGAGATAAAAAAAATAGCTGCTTGACGAGGTATGAACGAGTAAGTCAAAGGCCAAGACTTTGTTTTTTTGCCACCAGTGTATATGTGAGTACACAAATGTACTAATTGTTCGATTGACATAGCGCAACCCAGTTGTGTATTAATAACACTCGTACTTACATATGTCACCGGTAGAAAGTTAATTAGTTCATAGCAATGAATTAATTACAGACTATGAGTAATCAGTTTGTTTTGAAAATTAGTTCAGCATTTAGAATTTTCACGGTCACAGCTATTATTTGTTATACATATACACAATATATTTACATAAGTATGTATGTATATGTACCTATATTGAAGTATTTAAATGCCGTTTAATCAAAACCACAAACATCTTGTTGCGTGGCATCTGTCAATGTAGGTTGTTGCTTGCTTATAAATATGTATGTATGTATAATGCAGTGGAAATTGCGCTTTTTGAAAGCTTGCCTACTTGCTGTGCTACAAAAAAAGCATAAAGCAGAAATACATAAAAACCAGAATCGAAATATGAAATTTGCCAAACACCACCAAAATCTTGATTTACCGTTAAAAACCCGGGTTTTCATACTTTTGCGGAAAAAAGTAAATTTTAAAAAGTTGATTTTCCTGTTTATTTTTGGACCACCCATATCATAAAAAAATTTAATCTTATGACTGCACTACATATTTGCTTAGTAACTTTATTTATTCACTACCTAATTAAATATATAAGTAATCCTATTAACAATCTATTTCGTAGTCCAAACGTTTGCATCGACAAGGAAGAGGACGAAAAGGTAATCGATTCCAAAGCTGATTCCACCAGCGATGAAGAGATTGCTCCAGGTGTTTCGGAGGTCGTTGACGTGAGACCCAGCATTTTCGGACAATATCAAATTAGCCTCAATTCATGTGTTGAGAAACACAACAAATACGTTTGTACTCGAATGTAAGTATTGAGTCTTTTTTTGCACATTGCTACACTAACCCCAGCAACACAAGATAAAAAAAATAAACAGACAAGCGAAAAAGTCACAGTTGCAAGCCAAACTTTATTTTGTGAAATATGCCTATGAATACTTTGTTTTACTAAATTCGCGTTTTCATGTACTCCTTCCACACCAAACAAAAAAAAAAAAAAACAGCTTAACCCAAAATGGCAAGAGGAAAACGGTTACCGTAACACGTCAGTGCTGTCATGGTTATGGACGTCCACGTAATGCCGACTTCGCAACGCCATGCGAGAAAATGGAAATTAAAAGCATCGACGAAACTGCAGTCGATATGGGAGCCAAAGAGTTCGTGGCGACTGCCAAGAATGCTGGCATAAGCGATGTGTTTGGCAAGAAAAACGTGACCATCTTTATGCCTTTGGATGCAGCTTTCAATGACTACCTCGAACAAATGCAAAGCGAAAATGTAAGTGGCGTGGCGTATAAAAAAGAACGACGTCGTCATTCACTACTCTTCAGATGAGATAAAAACAGATTTACTAAACAATAATATATATTTTTTTAATTTACTGTTTTTAGAACGCTGTTGAGCCTAAGGCCGATGGTACTATGATGAACTTATATAAGCGTCATATTGTGGATGGTGAAATCAGCTTGTATGATCTGAGAAACGATCAATTGTTGAAGACTCAGCAACCCGATCAGTCCATACGTATTAACACCTTTGAGGTGCCACTCGCTTTGGGCGATGAACCTTACCGCTTTACAGCCAACTGCGTACCAATTGAGAAACATGATAAGCTTTCGGATCTGGGTATGATTCACACCTTGGGCGGTGTAATGAAGCCAGTAACCAAAAACGTTATGGATTTAATACGCGAACGTGCCGATATGTCGATTATGCGCACCGTACTCGAGACCACCAAGCTGAATGAGCTGTTAGAGGGTGAGAAACCAGTCACCATTTTTGTGCCGACCGATGACGCTTTCGACAAAGTGGATTCACATCTCCGACGTGCACTTAAGGAAGGCAAAGGCTGTGCTGCAAGTAAGTATTTACTTATACTTTAAGCAGAACAACAGACTTATAAGCAAATTGCTTCGCTTGGTTTGGGCGTCCTTTATATCGCACCCTAAATCAAGAACAGTCACAACACAAAAAAATCCCAAATGTTCAGGAGAGGTCGTGCAAAAAAAACCAAAACAGTTTTAATGGATATTAGAAATTTGGTCTGCGAACCGTTTTATGGGAAAGAATTAATATTGCAAAATTTTTAGTTCCGACTAGGTATACAGCTGCTACGTACTTAGCAATCAAGCACATATTTTGTTGCGTTTCCAAACAACGAAATGCGTGCTAGGCTGTGCGTAGCAACTATACACCTAAAACGCTACTCATCGTAAACTCCGCTTTTTATCATGCTCTAAGATCCGATTATGTAAATTTCAATATGACGAAAAATTAAAAAGGCGGCAAAAAAAAATTTAATTTCCTTTGAATCGAATCCGTTTTGCAAAATTTTAAAGATCTTTAGTGAGAAAAAAATTTTATCCTCGAGACAAGAAATTGCATTGCAAAAATACTTTCGACCCAGCTCATGATGAGTTTCCGAGCATGGAGATATGAAAGACAGTTTCGTAAACAGAGGACAAAATGTTGGTCTGGTAACTCTCTATTTGTGTTAAAGTTGGGACTCGCTTATCCTAAGAGAACTTTGGTGATCAGAAGGGTCTGAGAGCTCTTACTGCTTTATGGCCAACAATTTTGACCTAAGATCTATACTGTTAATGTTGGCATGTCTGAAGCGGACCTAAATTTTCTCAGGCTATCCTATGTTATTTCATACGAATTTAAAGTCATAAATATATCCACTTTGAGAAAAGATTATTGCCTCCATAAAAAATCTGAAATACGACTATGTCCAAAGTGTTTAATTTCGCAAAATATCTGACATCGGATTAATATTTTATTAAGGGTCAGCACCAGGGTTCGTATTTGCACACACATCCTTACCTTTTACTCACACACGTGTGCTGTGCATATAAAAAACGGCAAGTGTGTGCCGTTTGGTAAAAACACAGGCACATGTGTGTGCTTTGCGTAGGGAAACTCATACACTTAGAAATCTAACTCAAGTCTTAAATAAATTTTTAATATGTTTTCTGTCAAATAAAAAAACAAACATCGTATCACTCTTCATTGATTTTTTTTTATTATAATAATAACGTTTTATAAAAAATTTTATTTTAAAAATATATGTATTATTTTGTGCATGAGCAGAAATTTGTACTAAAAACGGCTCACACACATGTTCTTGCTCTTAATAAAAAACAACACACACTTTGCTATGAGCTGAGTTGGTTTTCCACAAATGCACACACATATCCCTGCAAAAAGTGGGACTAGGTTAAATATTAGTACATGACCACGCTACCTTATAAAAACACTAGTGACCAAAATGGTTCAAATATGTATGTGGAGAAAATATGATTACATTACCATTGCGATGTCATTGGACCTGACCACCTCTGGTCCAACGTTGCATAACATGGGGCCACTTCTGGCCCACCGCTGCATAACATGGGACCACTTAGACAACTGCTCCTTTGGGGCCATGGACTGAACTTCAAAAGATTTTATATAAACCGTATATTTGATCCTTTTTTAAAGTTTTTTTTTATTAAATAGCATAATCTATTATTTACAATGCATTTTCTTAAAAAATTCGACGTGCCGATGGGCCACGAAGAGATGGTGTTCAACAAATATATATCAGTTTTTTACGCTTGAAGTAGTACAGGTGCAACCTGGTCCTTTTGCAAATACATACTTTAAAACTAAGTCCCAGTAGACCACGTGGTCATCAAATTTTTGCAGGGGCAAATGCAACACATTTGTAGGTATAAGTAATACAGAAAAGCATAGATAGTTATATACATAAGTACGTAAGGCTACAGAACAGATTATCAGCTCTTCCCCAGTATCTTAATCAATGTACCTATTACAATTTTCTTATAAAATTAACTTTGCATTTTCAGACATTTTAAAGAATCACATTCTCGATTTGACCTTCTGCTCTGTTGCCTCCATACCCGGTGCCAAGACTACCGCCTACAACGTGCTTGGTGAAGCGATGCGTTTCAATCGCAGCGACTCATCCGCTGGCAAATCAGAAGTTGCCGATTTGGTTGGTGAGCAGCCGGTCATCATCAATGGCATTGCGAAAATCATTGATGCGGACATAATGGGCACCAACGGCGTATTGCATGTGATTGATACCATTCTACCAACAATGTCTGCATTACCGCTATCGACATTGATGGAAGAGAAGAATGTTACCATCTTTAAGCGGCTTCTTGAGGCCGCTGGATTGGATAACAGCTTCGATGACATGGATAATGTGACGGTATTCGCACCAACTGACAAAGCTTTGCAAGACTCCAAATGGGCACAGCTGTTGGAAGAGTCACCGGAACAGTTGCGCAATAACGCTGAATTGATTGAATTCCTCAAATACCACGTCGTGCAACCGATGACAAAGACCTGCGACTTGTCAGATACCACCTTGCCCACTATTGCTGGTCCAGAAGTGCGTGTAAATCTCTACTCCACACATGCGCTCTTCTCGAATGTGATGAATCGTGCTACCGTCAATTGCGCGCGGCTGGTGCACTTCGATGATGAAAGCTGTGGTTCAGTGTTGCATCAAGTGGACAAACCACTGGAGGCACCAAAATTGGTAAGCAATGAAATACCACCCGATGTAAAATAACTTATGTATTTAACTTCGTTTTGCCATTTTTTAGAATCTCTTGGAGTTCTTGGAATCCAATCCCATGTATAGCAAATTCCTTGAATTGGTGCGTGCCGCCAATCTAAGCAGCATCTTGACAAATGCCAGTGATAGCTACACACTGCTTGTGCCCAAGAACGACGTATTCGAGGAAGTCGCCGACTGGCAGACGACACTTACCAAAGATAAATCCGAACTAGAAGATCTGGTCAAGACTCATATCGTAAATGATGTTGTCTGCTGTGCTGGTATTATACCGACCAAATGGCCATTTATGCGTTCGATTGAGACACTGAATGGCGCTCATTTGCGCATTACCCGCGAACGTCGCCCGAAGATCGCAAATGCTGGTGTGACCAAGTGTGATGCGATCGCCACGAATGGTATTGTGCACGAGATCAATGACATAATAGTTCCTGAAAAACGTCAACAGCGACCACAACCACAGTATCAGCCAGATGTGGAAAGTTTTGGTGATTTCTTCTTCTAAATACATACTTCACTTGGTCAAAACGTGCACGCATAAATACGTACATACATACATAGTTGGCTAAAAGTTTGTAAGAATTTACAGATGCTGTTTGATACTTTGAGAATAACTGATCAATTCTTGCAATAGCATTAATTAAGGAAAAGGAATTGACTTTACAAGTTTACTATTGCGATATTTTTTTTCTGTGTATTTATTTAATATAAAAAGTTTCTTATAATCTGATCTAAACATTCGAAATATATACAATACGACTTTTTTTAATAAATTATATTTATATACAATACATGTATTAAAACGAATTGTGACTGTTTACATTCGAATAACAATTAAATAAAATCTCTAAACTATATGGTTGTTTTCTCTTATTAATAAAAATGTCTAAGTTTTTATATTTAAAAAAATCATTAAAAACGTCATCAAACTCAATAAAATTTTAAAATATAAATTTTTATTCGCCAAAAAAAATTAAATAAACAAAAAAAAAATAAATATACGGCTTTTTTAAAAAACAATAATGATGCAGATAGGTAGATGATAGATTGAAATACAAAAAAAAATCTATTTTTGAATCGTTTCGAATCGGAAAAAAGTGATGGATGCGGAAGAAATCGTCAAAAAAATATAAATCGATCCCTCAAGGGCTTCTTCGAGTTGCAATCACAACTGCAGTGTTGCGCGAATTAAAGTTTGGCAGTTGCAACACTGTTGCAGATTTTCATTTCTTGGTCCTACTTATAGGGCATTCGCACGAGGCGATTTTACAGGCAACTTTTAGTTGAAAGCAAAAATCGCCTCGTCCGAACGGCCTTTCAACTAATCGCTTTCAACAAAGTTGGTCGCCAGCCAACTTTGAGCTCGTTCAACTTTTTTTCCTTGCAACCCTGTGTTTCTTTACATTCTGTATCAGTGTTGGGAAATGAAATCGTTCCTTCAGTACGAAATCTATACAAAAAATGTACTTTTCGGCTATAAATTGTATACACTTTTTAATTCGCTCATATATTTTCTTAGTACATTCCCTTCAAGACCAATGATTTTATGGTATTCATGAGAAAGTTTTATTGTTTATGTACATACGTTTACGTATTTTACACTTTTACAAATTGATTCCACGTGCACATGTACTGCATTTAACGCAAATATGTATGCACACATTTTCAGGTATACATCTTAACAAAAAGCATATTTAAGTTGATATTAATGGATAAAAGAGACATTTTCTTTGGATTCAGTACTAAAATTTGACATTTTTATAGCATTTCACGTGCTTATCAAAACTTTACGAGAATATTTGACCATTTATCTTAATATTAGTCAATTTTAATTATTTTTTGTAAAAATACGCTTTATATTTTAAGAAAAGCCGTACAAATCCAAGGTTCAAACTTTGTGCAACATTAAAAAAACCAACACACTTTTGTAAAAATGTCGATCTATTTAATTCGATTTCCTAGATTTATTTTGAGTGTGCGGTTTTTTAGCCCATTAAATTTTAATATAACTAAGTTTTTTAAGATTTCTTTGATGAAGGTGTTGCTAATTTCCTCCATATAAAAAAATCGTCGAACACACTTCGTATGGAAGAAAATGGCTGACATCGTCCACAAAACCAAATTGCCAAGTTCAACGGTAAGTGCCTGCTTCTTTAAACTTGCAATTTATTATACTAAAATTGAATGGGCTAAAAACTGAAGAATATTAATAAAGCTCGAAATTTTTAAGGCAGTATGTTGGTTTTTGGATGTTTCGCAAAGATTTAATCTTGGGTTTATACAGTTTTTCTTAAAGAATTCATTATAGTTTATAAACCGATAATTAAAATTAAAGAATAATAAAATAAATAGTAAAACCTTGTCAATATGTGAGTGCCGTAAAGGTATTATATTTAAGAAAATCTCTTCTTATAACTAACGAAGACTTTGTTTCTATATGAAGCTGACTTTGACATTTTGTTTTAATAAAACTTAGTATCGAAAAGTTTCTTTAAAAATTTGGCTAGGCTATGTTATACTGGTTCGTTCAAGCCATTTTTCAAAACTTACAAAGGCAAATACGAACAGGCGAACAAAAGAGAATACAAAGAATTTCTTGCTGTGAATTTTCAGAGCAGTATATTTTTAGTATTCATTACAAAATTGTATTAAAAAGTACTGCGTAGTAGGAAAGTATATTGTAAATGAAATTGTATCAAACAAGTACAATTGTACCAAAAAATGCCAACACTGTTGTGTATACATATTTTTTTTCTTTTTTACTTTTTTACTCTTATTTTATCTTTCAGCTTCGCTAAAAGCACTTATACCAACGCTTGGCTTACCAAATTTACGCCAATTGATAAAATTTGGCGATTTAAACTCATTTTAAATAATGTAAACAACAATTCGAGTTGAATCGAAAATCGCCTCGTCTGAATAGGGATGGCAACTTTTTCACTTTCAACTTCTCATTCAACTCCGCATTCAACTTTTGTTGCCTGAAAAATCGCCTCGTGCGAAAGGCCTATTAGGAAGAGGGTTAAACTATTTGAATTTTTTTATTACAAAAGAGTAAAACATAACTTAAAAATTAACTGCTATTTCCAGAGTGCTGAGGCTTTTGAGGAAATTCTTTTTTTCTGTGAAAGAAAATTTGTAAGAGCGTCAAGAAAAAAAATATTCAAAAATTAACGGTAAGTCCTAACATCTTTAAACTTTCACATACTAAAATTCATTGGGTTACAAAACTGTTTGTTGTAGTATTACCCAAAATGATATACAGAGTTATTTTCAATAGGCATCCCTTTAAAATTTTGTAGATTTTTCCAGAGCATATTAATATGCATCAATTGAAGAAAATTCGAATGTTGATTCTCGAATTGTTTTAGATCGACTTACGAATCAAATTGGAACTAAAAAATCTAATAGGAAGCGTCTGAGTAATCGATCTTCGATTTAAAAACGGCATCTCTACCAGGCACTAGTCATCACGCCCACATATCATCTAGGGAATTTATCAGACTAAAAATTGTGGGATCTAGTATAACCTTAGTAAATATTGTATGTATGCACATTAGGGTGATCCAAAATAAGTAAAGTCTGAATTTTAATGTTCTCACCCCAAGGCATTGGTCTATCGCGAAAAAAATATAACCCTATTTTTTATTTTGAAATCAAAAATACATTTAGAGGTCGCTCAAAGCGCCCAAAGTTTTCCATGAATTTATATGGGGAAAAAAAACTTTACGTAAAAATGGTATAGAATTCTTGAAAATTATTATTTTTCGATCGGAAAACTCCAGTTCTCTTCAGGCCACTTTATTTAAACATTTTGTGGTGCGGTTGCAAGCGGGCGTCGGTCTTGGAGCAAGCGGCTCGGCTATATAAACCTGTATACGGTTAAAAAACGCCTCGGCTGAGACCCCCTCTTTTGATGACGACCACGGCAAACGTTTAAAGGACTACGATACGAACTCGTATAAAAACAACAATGGTCACCTACTGACCGATGTCCAGAACGTACCTAAATTATGGAGGGAACACTTTTCCACATACTGAATGGTAGTAATACTGAGAGTTGTGCAGAAGACGAACCCGATTGCACCACCACCGCCAAAAAACAACAACAACAACAAAGCGGCTGTGGCAGACAGCCTGACAGCTGAGCTATTCAAGTATGGCAGTGACGAGCTCATAAGGTGTATGCATCAACTATTATGCAGAATATGGTCAGACAAACGCATGCCCGACGACTGGAATTTAAGTGTGCTCTGCCCAATCCACAAGCAAGGCGACTCCGCCATACGCGCCAACTACCGCGGGATCAGCCTTCTAAGCATAAGTAATATGGCCTTATCGAGCGTATTGTGTGAAAGACTGAAGCCCACCGTTAACGAGCTGATTGGGCCTTATCAGTGTGGCTTTAGACCTGGCAAATCCCCCATACACCAGGTAAAAGGAAAAGGATCGACACTCGCCATATATAGCACTAAAAGTAGTTGCCTATACGCCGCAAAACTAGGAAAGATCATTCCGAGCCGTTTGCTACTAAACGGGATTTCATCTAATTTCTTTAATCTGATGTCGTAGAAGATAATAAGGGCTGCAGAACTGAACCGCTCAGAAACAATTTTTACACGAGCGCAGAATTTCTGGCGTGCGCCGATGGCATCGACATCAGCGGTAACAAGGGCAGCAAAGTGTGTTCTGCCTTTTCCAAGTTGGATAAGAAAGCAAAGCGATTAGGTCTGGTGGTCAACGAGGGAAAACGAAGTTTTTCTTGTAACTAACAAACAGTAAGCGCCACGGTCCATTTCTTTTCGTTTGGTCCATTGGTCCAATTCTTTTTAAAATGGTCCATTTGCCTTTTGGTTAGGTTATTATCACCCTTTCACTTCATGCAATAGTTTCGCGTTTTCAATTTTTTCTATTTAGTTGATCGAAAAGATAATAAACATCTTGAAATTATTACACCACATAAAGTTCTTTCTGATACTGATGTATGAATTTTGCCGCTACTCGACCAATTTCCTGCATTGGTAAATGATGCAGACACGCAAATTGACTTCAAAATCTGTACCAGTATAGAACGTTTTTGGGATCAAGTAAGTTTGATTAAAAATGGATTGGGTGAAGTGGCCTTTGGATAATTGTGTGATTTAGTTCATAACATTTTTAGTCTGCCTCACAGTTCCGCAGCAGCAATTTTCTTGATTTAGCATTAATAAAAACGAAATTAAGGGCGGTATTATCACGTGCGAAGCGAATGAATTTGGCGAAGCGAACGGTTTGGCGAAGCGAATGGATTGGCAGACGCAACTTAAATATGCGTTAAGAGTGTTATTTTTTACCAGCTTGTGGAAGTTATTTTCGCTTCGCCAAACCGTTCGCTTCGCCAAATCATTCGCTTCGCAAGTGATAATAAATTATAATTTAAAACTTTAAATAATATAATGTTAATAATAGTAGCAGCATACAAGCTCCCAAAGAGTTTTTGGTGAGTGTTGCTGGAGTGACAGTCCTTTACCAAATATAAACCTGGGTCGTTCCGATTACGTAGACCCGTCGTGGGAACGAATATACAATTGTAATGCACTTTGAATGCAATATAAAAAAAATCGTTATAAAATCTGAATTGGCATATTTTCTTGATAAAGAGGAATACACTCCACTCAATTTCCCCATGTAATAAAAATTGGTCCATTTTTTACCATTTGGTCCATTTTTTGGTCCGAAAAATAAATTGGAAATGGCAAACGTGATAAGCGCAT